ATGAGAAGTAGGCTGGGCACAGTGGTGCATGCCTATAACCCCAGTGACTCAGGGGGCTGATACAGGAGGATCTCGAGTTCAAAGCCAGCCTCAGCAATGGAGAGGCGCTAAGCAACTCAGTGAGACCCTGTCTCTAAATAAAATAAAAAATAAGGCTGAGGATGTGGCTCAGTGATCGAGTGCCCCTGAATTTAACCCACAGTACCCCCCCCCCAAAAAAAAAGAATGAGAAGTAGCAATAAAAAGATTTTCTTCTGTGGGTCATAAACTGACCCCAAATTCCTGTTCAATCCATGTTCCATGTCGCTGGCAGAGTTCCTTCCTCAAAACACAGATTTGATATTACTTAACAGTTTGAAAATATTTGGTGGCTTCCTATTACCTTCAGAGTACAAGCCAAGATCCTTAACTCTGGGATTGGGGCGAAGAGCTATGGGCAACATGGTAGGGCCCACGTAGGTTTCAATCTCACCTTTGTGCCCTGAGACAGATTATCCCAGACCTCTGTTCCTTCATTGGTAAAAAGAAGACTAACAATGTCTACTTTATTTGGTTGTTTTGAGGACAGTAGCATTGTTAGGCTGTGCACAGTAGTCAACTCAGTAAGTAGCATTGTTCTGTGTTCATTGCCCACTGTGACCCATTTACAGCCTGTCTAGGGAGAATCCTCCTGTTAAGTCTGACCTGGTGGACACACATTCTCCAAGCAGACACACATCATTGAAGTACATTCTCCAACCTGCAATGCCCTAAACAAAACAGGGATCCCACACTTCTTTGTTTTGCATATACTGTGCTCCTTTTCTAGTGGCTCCATCGCTTTCTGTCAGTACTCTGTAATTCTCCATCTCCTCTGTGAATGTTTATAGTTTTCCTTATATACATACACAACTCTTTTTTCAGAAATTGCACTCCCAATTAATCTCAGAAGCTCCCAACAACCCTCAGTAAGGTTCCTGGCTCAGATCAGCCAGTTAGTGAATGTCTGTTAAAAGGTTTCATTCCAAGAGAGAAGCTGATTTTATTATTATCATCAATATTGCTTTTCTTACCAAAGAGTCCCTTCAGAGGGATGGCATTTGTCCATGTGTACAGACACATTCTACATGTGTTTCATAATGACTCTCATTTCTTTGGATCCTCACCTCAGTTGAGGAAGAGATTCAGAAACAGACCCAGCAGGGTGGTGCACACCTGTAATCCCAGAAGGAGGATTCCAGGGCCTTGGGGACCTTATAATGGCACACACTCTATCATTTTTTATTGAAAAGAAAAATATTTTCCTACAGGAAACAGCACACATCCTGCATAAGCTCTGTGCATTAAAGATATAGAACACTTTTTTTTTTGAAGCAGGAATTGAACCCAGGGGCGCTTAACCACCAAAGCACATTCCCAGCCTCCTTTTTATATTTTATTAGAGACAGGGTCTTCGCTGAGTTGCTTAGGGCCTAGCTAAATTGCTGAGGCTGGGTTTGAACTCTCCATCCTTCTGCCTCAGCCTCCTGAGCCGCTGGGATTACAGGCACGCGCCACTGAGCCTGGCAGAACACTTTTATTTTTAAAGATTTCTACATTGAGGGACTGGAAGTGTAGGTCTGGGGTACAGCACCTGCCCAGCATGTGTGAGGCCCTAGATTTGATCCCTAGCACTGTGGATGGGGGACACATCTATCTTGAAACCTCTCTCAAAGGCCATCCCTCCTTTCAATCTCCCACCCCCATCCCACTGCGGTACCTAATCAGTCTCTCACTTTCCCCAGTACCTGGCTCACGAATCAACAACAAATATGGTTGCATGAATGAGACCCAAATTGGAAGGAAAAGGAAGAGTTGTGACCAATCTGCTTTGGGTAAATTATCCCCCATTGTCTACATCAGGTTCCAGAGTTAAAGGGTATCTACTAGGAATTTAGAGCTAAGTAGTTTTTGTTTTTCGTTCTTCTTTTCCCATACGTAGTAGTATTTCAAAGAGGGTTCCAGACTTTAAGAAAGTCGGAGCCTCAGGTGTGCTCCCCTGAACCCCCACGCTACAGGCCTCACCTCCACCAATCCCAGCTACGCTTTGCTGCAAAGACCCCATCACACCCTTGGTCCAGTCGTCAGGGAGCCATCCATCACTGTCTGGACGCGAGCCAATCGAGCCTATCGGACAAGCCCTGCCTTCCTGCCAGCCAATTGGCGGAAGGCAGTGGGCCCCACAAGTCGCTTTGGAATGTGTGTGTGTGTGTGTGTGTGTGTGTGTGTGTGTGTTGGCAAGCGGTCAGCCGTCTCCGGGTAGTATAAAAAGGGTTCGAGGGGCAGGCTGCCCCTGGTGTGTCCACAGCTGGGTCTGAGTGTGGCTAGCAACACGTCCAGCGCCAGATCTCTGGGCCAGTGTTTCTGGGAGCCTAACCTCCTGGGGTCTCAGTTCCTACTGTGTCCTGGTGCCAGTTCAGCTGGAGAAAGGGGAGGCTCCCATCCCCGCAAACACTCGGGACATATTGGGAGTCCACCAGGGCACAGAGGGAAAACAAGAATGGGGCCAGGGGAAGGGGTGGAGACGGTAAGGCGGGCCCGGGAGGCCGCCCCCGCCCGGAACCGCCGACCGCCCTTCCCGAAACCGGGTCTTCGGCGCTCGCCTCCGCGCCCGCCGGCTCCGGCCTGTGGCAGCACTAATGAGGCTTTCTGTGGGAAGCTGGTGCCAGCGGGCAGAGCTCTGGGCGACTGGCCAGGCGCGCCGTCCTGGCGGCTCCGCCTGGTTGCGGGCGCTAAGAAGGGGCCAGGGACGCAACCGCCCACGACCCCCACCAGCCCCAACTGGGTCTCGGTCTCCGCCCTCAGAAGGCCAGGGCTGCAAACTTGGGATCCTCCCACCCTCCTGTCCTTCCAGTTCCTCCGACCGCTCTATGCAGTCCTCCCTGCGCTGACCCCCTCCCCTCCACCGCCGTGGGTCCGCAGCTTTGCAGCACCACCACGCCCTTTAGCCATAGCAAGCGAGGACAACTTTCTGTTCGCCTTTCCATCCTACCATGCCCCCTCGGCTCCCTCCTCTTAACCCAGAGCAGTCCCTGGATGGGCGAGGGGTTCCGACAGCCCGAAGGCAAGGCACGCGGGAAAGCCACCTGTCCCTAGCAGTACCCCACCGGCCTGGTTCTGCAGAATCTGCCACAAACCCTTGAGCTTTTCAGAACCTCAATGGCCCCCCTGAGTAAAACTGTGAAGACACTGTGTTGTTCACAGGATTCGGTTAGACAGTTTGCGTGAAGTGCCAGTCTTTTGACTGTCCTTTTCCATTCCCGTTTCTGTACAATTGAAATTGCAAGGCCCGGGACGGGTTGCCAGGAAGCGACTTGCCCTTCCCGTCCTTGTGGTCGCTTAGGGGCGGTGGAAGGAGCCAAACACTGGGTGTGGCCTCGTATTTGCCAAAGTATTTCTAGAGAATTTCTTCTTTCCTGTCGCCGCTCTGGTCCCTGAGCTCCAGTTTAATTGCATACTCCTCCAGTCCCCGCCTTTAGAGTTGACTTTTTACATTATTTACTGGAAAGGATTATGTGCACAGAGTTTTACAATGCATATGTTTGCACTGCTGTATCTTTGCCATTTTTCTCAAATTACAGAAATCGTCGAATCCATTATAAATAGTGTAGGACGTGACAACCACAGGGACCGCTTCTAGCGACACCCGAGTCTAGTCTCTTTCTTTAGCAGCTGGCGGAAATTCTTTTTTTTTTTTTTTTTAATTTTTTTTTTTAATATTTATTTTTTAGTTTTCGGCGGACACAGCATCTTTGTATGTGGTGCTGAGGATCGAACCCAGGCCGCACGCATGCCAGGCAAGCACGCTACCTCTTGAGCCACATCCCCAGCCCCTGGCGGAAATTCTTGTACCCACCCTGATGCAGAACTCACAGGGTGGGTCACGCGTGCTGGTTGCTAGGGCAACGCCCTGTTGCTTGTGTTTGAGACCAACCCAGAGCAAGGGTCTGTCAAGACCTAGGGGAGGAGTTAGGGCAAAAGACCAGCAGGAGCACGTTTCGCGTTTTTCCCTCTAGGTGCCGCTGTAGGATTGCGGATGCTGTCGTGGGGCGGGGCTTCCCACCAAGCTAGGCTCCTCCAAAGGCGGGGCGTGGGACGAAACCGCTGCAGCCTGCAAGGGCTGGAGGGAAACTAGCTGCCTTGGGATACAGCTGGAGGCGGCCTCGGTATGATAGTACAGGAACGCAGGAAGTGCACGCATTGGAGAAAGACAAGGAGAAAACACAGGTTCTGGGACCGGGACAGAGAAGGAAAGTGGCCCAGAAAGGTGTCCATCACCATCTTTCCAGTTTGGCCCTGGAAATCCCTTTTCGTCCTCTCCCCTCTGGGCCCCCAATTCTTCACAGCCTTAGAGCGCGCCAGGTGCTCTGGATACGGGGACACACCACACACACACACACACACACACACACACACACCGGGTTCTGGCCGATGCGTCCTCGCCCCCGGTATTCGGTCGAAGCCAGCAAGCTTGCTGGGCTCTAGTGCCCAGGCTGTTTGCCACAGTAGGAATTCCGCGGTCCCCGGCATGCCAAGAAAAACAGCCATGTTGTTTCTCAGTTTGTCAGAGGAAGCCCTATTCCCTTTTGGAAGCCAGGAATGGAAAAAATGACTTGGAATCTCCAGAGGAGCTGCGCGGTGTGTACCGCATTAAAAAAAAAAGTGGGGGTACCATCTTTTGCTCTTTCTCAGAAGTATGCGTCATTCCTGCCACTGTCACTCTCACCGTGTTACATAGTCAGACCCAGCCCCGCCCGCCGCGTACGATACTCCGAGGTATCAGTGTTGCATCCCCTTACTATACTAAATAGTCCCTTTCCCGTGACCCGTTCTCTTCCCAAACAGGCAAGTACAGGGATACATCCGCACCGGGTCTGGATATCTTGAAGATGTGCCTCATATACCCAAGAGGAGCCGCAGAAAGCCCAGAAGCCCTTGTCTGAACACACACACCTCTCCCAGGCCAAGAAAGGAGGAGACCCTTGGCAGGAGACAAAGCAGATTTATTAGGGCCCTGACTCCAAAAGTCTAGGAGAAGTTCTGAGCAAAGCAGCTCAGCTGGTTCCCATGGCCCAGGGCAGGCCAGGGCACTGAGAAGGGGTAACCGAGCAGGGGCCAACCCTTTGCTTCTCAGAATCCCTGGCCCAGCTCCTCAAGGGTCAGTTCTGGGGGAGGCCTGGGAAGGCAGAAGGGTTTCTTCTGCCCCTTGGGCTTTTGCTAGGAATGGGGAAATGGTTCTCTTGGGGAAGGAAGCCTTGAATCCAGAGCCTTCATTTCAGTAACGACCATTTAATTTGTTCCTTGGCAGACTGGAGAACCTGGGATGGGGTATAGGAGGTTGAGAGAAAGAAGTGGGGAGAATGTCAAATACCTTTAAACTGGCAGTGAAAAATTCTACAGGGTCCCCAGCCGCCCCTGCAACCTTGGTCACTAGGTGGCAGCAGCTCTTCTCTGTCTGGGGCCAGACATCAAGGCAGAAAGGATAGGGCAGGTCCAACTGGCAGCAGCCAGCTCCCACCTCAGGCCCAACCCTGCCCAGCTCTCTAGTTCCTGCATCTGTAACCCTGGATGTAGCAGTGGCCCCTACCTCCCCCATGCCATGCCATGAGAATTCCTGTCCCCAGATACTGGGTTTAGTCACCTGACACCTCAGCAACCCACTAGCTCTGGTCTCAGCTAGCAGTGTGTTCTCAACTCCACCCAGTCCACTGCTGATGTGGCACAGCTGGAAAAGGGTGGGCCAGACCCTGCTTTGGCCACCTTCTGAGGAAGCAATCTGGGTCTAGTATGTATACAAATCTGTAGCACTGTGAATACCCAATGCTAATACAGCAGGGCCCCCAGGTGTCCTTCAGATTGTCTCTCCAGCCATTAAGCCTCTTTTCCTTAAAAGAAGGTAGATTCTACTCTGTGTATCTCTCTTCCTCCTGCAACTCTCTGGGGCATGTTGGGGTTCCCCTGATTCTCCTAGGGGAATCTAAATTTCTCTTCATTTGTATTCCCTATTTCACTACCTGCACTTTCCTTTTCACTCAAGAATTTCATTAAAAGTGCTTTGTCTTTGGGCTGGGGTTGTGGCTCAGTGGTAGAGCACTTGCCTAGCATGTGTGAGGCACTGGGTTTGATTCTTAGCACCACATATAAATAAAGGAATAAAATAAAGGCCCATCAACATCTAAAAAAAGTGCTTTGTCTTCATTCTTTGGCCCTCTGGAAAAGTGGTAATGGTTATTTGCTGAGCATGTATGGCTCACTAGAAGCTATGGGAGCTTCCTTGTAGTAGCCTGTTTGATTAACTCTCTGAATAACTCTCTGAAGAGGTCCTTCTATTATGTGAGACCCAGAGAGGTTGAGTAACTTGCCCTAGGTCACCCAACATTAGGTGTTAAGGTAGGACAACCTGAGATGCCTCATAGGAGCGCTTATTTTCTCATCTGCTCTGCTTATTGCCCCCAACCTCTTCTGCCCAGAAAATCGCCGTGCAATTGCATTAATTCCAGCAGGCCATGAGGATACACGGGGAACCAGAGGGCAGAGGGAGTGCTGAGAGTAGTGCAGAAAAATGGGCACCACACCTGGGGCTCCCCATTGGTGGGCACAGGCCCTTCTCAGTAGGGCCACCAGAGTAGGAGTGGTTAGTGCCAGGGCATGAAGCTCCACAGAAGCAGGATTAGTCTGAGCAGAGGGACCTGTGAGCAGACAGAACAGAGGTCAAGGAAGTCAGCCAATAGGATCATCTAGGTGTACGGTGGGAGTGGGCTTTTCCCTAGCCAGGTCCTTCAGAGGCAAGGTGACAAGTGATGAGCGGGGAGAGTTAGATCTTATGAGTTTAAGAGTCCTTTAACAGCTAGGTATGGTGCATGTCTATAATCCCAGCAATTTGGGAAGCTAAGACAAGAGGATCATAGGTTCAAGGCCAGCCTCAGCCACTTAGCAAGACCCTAAGCAGCTTAGCACTTATTCTCAAAATAAAAAAAGAGCTGGGGATGTGACTCAGTGATTAAGCATCCTTGGGTTTAATCCCTGCTACCAAAAAAAAAAAAAAAAGAGCTCTTCAACAAAGCTGGGTGCAGTAGCACATAACTATAGCCCATGTGCTCCAGGAGACTGAGGAAGAAGAATTGCTTGAACCCAAGAGTTTAAGACCAGCCTGTGACAACATAGGGAGAGCCCATCTCAAAAAAAAAAAAAAAAAAGGAGCTGGACAGATATAGTGGTCCACTTCTGTAATCCCAGCTACTCATAAGGCTGAGGCAAGAGGATCAAAAGTCCAAGGACAGCCTTGCTAATATAGCAAAATCCTGTCCAAAAAAATAAGATTTTTAAAAAGAACTGGGAGGGGTAGGAAGGGTGGTAATGTAACTGAGTGTTAGAGCACTTACCTAGCATGTGCAAGACCCTGGGTTCAGTCCCCAACATGACAAACAAAAAACAAAACCCAAACAAACAAACAACCTTTAACAATCCCAGTGAGGATCCTAAATGATGAGGGTGGGGTTTGGAGGTAAACTCCTAGTTGGTATCCTTTTTCCAAGTTGGGGGAGCATTGGGGCTTGAGCTCGCACATTTCTTTGAGAGACAAGTGACCCAGCCATCACCAAGGTAGGCAGTTCATTTCAAGTTTGATCCAATTGAACCAGGCCAGCAGACAAGTGAGCAGATGGCAAAGTGTCCCTTCATCCCTTATATGCAATTCTCCCACCCCAGAGACCTGGAAGCCTCCACTGATTCTAAGAGATAGCCCATCATGGCCTAATCCCTTCCTTTCTGCACCCCTGATCTCTTGGCCTTGATAGCATCCCCTGGGTTCCTCAGTTCTCCTTCTCTCTTTTAGCACATTTCTATTAAAGGCAGATGCAGGGGCCTACCTGGGTCACACTCTGTTCAGTTAAGCTGCTGTCATCTGCCTGCAGGGAAGCAGAATCAAAGGGTGGGGTTAGGCCATGGTGAGGTTGTTGGGACAGAGAGGTGAAGGAGAGGGACTTGGGGATTGAGAGAGCAGTGGTGAGTGTGGTCCAGAACTGCACCTGTATCTCTAGTTAGCAGAAGTCCTGCAGCCTGTCATTTGGAAGTCAAGACCCCTGGGATCTTTCTGTGGTGCATGGAGGGTGAGGGAGTGAAGGGGAATGAAGATGGAAGGCAAGGTTTCTTCAAGATACAAGAAAGTCAGAATAGGCAAGGAGATTCTGTCCACTCCCCCAAGTCAATCTCAAGGCCAAGGTAGCCACCAGGTATCCTTTTGAGGATTCACATATTTCCCTGCCTATACTTCCCAGGAGAGAGGGTGGGGCGGTGATTGTGATCCTGTTTTGGAGAGGACAAGATGATTTGTCTTAACAACAAGCTGCCACCCACCCACCCTGACCCTAGCAAATGCAATGGCTCAGGGGATGGCCTCTGCCAGAGGAACTCTGGCTTCCACTACCTGGGCCCTGGCAGACCCATGCCCAGGGAAGATGGGAAGTGGGAGGACAGGAAGGGCAACCTGGAGGAGATGGGAGTGAGGAGGGGTGAGGGAAGACTTACCCTAAAATTCACTTTCTGGATCACTTGCTGAGGGTCACTTTCCAGAATCACACTGCAAGATGAGAGAAAAACCAGGGGTGCGGGGGATTGGAGATGTGATTCTTTCCTCTGCCTCCTCTCCCAGACAAGCAGCTTCCCTCTCTTCCACCTATAGAATCTCCCCTCCAGGGCTCCTTCCCACGGATGATCCTCAAGTCACACCTCTCCCTCGACACAGAAGGCCCTCAGCTCTGCCTCATCTACTCTTCACATCTGTGGTTCATATCCTTGGTCATCACTGGGCAATAACTGTGAAGTGGGGCAGTCCAATTTAGAATGATCAGGCGTTATCAGGCATGGTGGCACACACCTGTCATCCCGGCTGCTTGGGAGGCTGAGGCAGGAGGAAATTGCAAGTTCTAAGCCAGCCTCAGCAACTTAGCCAGGCCCTAAGCAACTTAGCGATACTTTGTCTCTAAATAAAAAACAAAAAGGGCTGGAGATGTGGTGGCTCATTGGTAAAGTGCTCCTGGGTTCAATCCCCAGTCCAAAAAAAAGGCAAGGACTCACAAACTCAGAGCTCTTCAGTTTACTTCACTACCTGGGTCTAGGGATGAATTCCCTGTGGAAAGACTGAGCTACAGTGAAGAAAGGGAGGCCCTTGGGGGAGATTCCTCTCTTATCTCACTATTATTTCATGCCATGGGTCATGCTGGACATGAGAGAAATGGAATCTAAAAATCAGAATCTACCCTTTCTTCTGATAGATCTAAATCTTAAGGCTTTCCTCAGCCAAGGGACGGACACTCATGAGGCACTGGAGGTGCTATGGAACTGTTTGTGGTAGTGTGCAGGGTGCATGGGGTAAGAGGGCTCGCCACTGTGGTGGTACAGAGATGCAGCCACTGAGTATTCCTTCTTACCTGGTAAAGCTCCTCCAGGGCAGAAGTTTGGTTTTCTTTTTTACCAAGCCAATGGAAATAAACGTTTCCCAGAAGCCTCTTCCCAGGCTCCCTCTGGGCCCAGGATCTCTAGCCAGAGGTGTTGGAATCCATAAAGGCAGAGCATTCGCTCAGGGGCCACCTCCCTGGTAGGTGCTTCCTGGTTTTCCCTGACAGGAAGGTGAGCTTGGCAGTGGCAGATCCTGGGAAACTTAAGGAGCTTATACTCAGGCCACAATCTATACACAAAACCTAGTCTACCTCCAGTCACATTTAGGTCCCAGCAATCAGCACAAGGTGAGCAGTATAGCAGGCAGGCAATAGTCACAGGGGGAGGGAGGCATTTCCAGGAACTATAGCCCCTGCCCCCACGAAGGGTGGGACTGTGCCTTGGGAAGAGCATAATCTCTGGGACTGTTTGTTTTAAGAATTTTCTGTTATCCTTTGCCCTAGAGTCAGAACTTCTTTTTCTCCCTGATTATGGTCCCCTCTTCCCATTAGGGGAAAGCCCCTAACTAACTTTTCTCATAGGGGTTCCTGGGCTCATTGGCACAGCAACAGGAGACAGCACTTACCAAATGAGCTTCGTGTGCATCATCTTCTTTGGTCCCTATAAATCTATGACCTTAGTTTCCTCACCATCCCATTTTAAAGACAGGGAAAGTAAGGCTCAGTAAGAATGAGTAACTGGCCCAGGTCATGCATCTAGTTGTGTTGGAATGGAACTCTGAAAGGGGAATGGATGGGGTCTAGTAGACCATCTGAAATCCTTCCAGAGAAACAAATGTCTATGCTTCTTCTGGACCCTGGAGATCAAAATGGATTTCCCTAAACCCTGCCTATTAACCATCTGCCATAGGTTGATATCAGGATTCTCTCTCTCTCTTTTTTTTTTTTTTTTTTTTTTTTAGTTACACCCCCAGCCCTTTTTATTTATTTTGAGACAGGGCCTTACTAAGTTGCCTAGGACCTCATTAATTTGCTGAGGCTGGTCTTGAACCTGTGACCCTCCTGCCTCAGCCTCCCAAATTCCTGGGATTTCTGGCAAGCATCACCTTCTTTTTTTTTTTTTTTTTTTTTTTGGTGTTCAGTGCTGGGGATGGAATCCAGAACCATGCACATGCTAGGCGGCAAGTGCTCTACCATTGAGCTACAGCCTCAGCTAGGTAACTTTCTTATTTGGCTTGACTTTGGCTAACACTGACTTCAACCTCCATCCTTAGGAGTGAGGTGGGATTAAGGGGAAAGGTTGGGTGCATGGAATCACTGGGCATATATTGGGGGAAGCAAGTGAGAGTTGGCCAGAGAGCCTGACAATGTACTGTGAGCAATCTTGACTGATGGCCCACAAAGACCCTCTTGCTGTGAGTATCCCCAGCCCTTCCCTCTTCTCTCCAGCCCTTCCTCACCCGCCATCCACAATCTCATCCAGCACCAAGAAGGCTCCATCCATGTTCTCCAGCAACCAGCGCTTCTCCACATTCTTCCTGAGGGTAGACACAAGCTCCTGAGCTTCCCCAAGGCCAGCAGGAACCAGGAACTGAGTCTCTGTCTAGGCAAGGCAGACCCTCTCTCTCTCTAAAGACTGCCTCAATGACCACCCCTCTCCCCAATAAGGACAAGAAGGAGAATGTTAAGGGCTCTGAGGGCAGAGCCTGTGCAAAGGATTCTTTTTTTTTTTTTAATATACTTTTTAGTTGTAGATGGACACAATACCTTTATTTATTCAATTTATGTGGTGCAGAGGATTGAACCTAGGGCCTCACACATGCCAGTCAAGTGCTCTCTCTACTTCTGAGCCACAACCCCAGCCCCTGTGTGAAGGATTCTTGAGCACAGGGTAGGTCTGCTTCCTGAAGCCCCACCTTGCCCAACCTCCATCACTTTGGGCACTGATATCCACATGCCCACCATGGGAGCCCCAATGCATTTCATAGCTGGTTTAGGTGCTCCCACACTACTGTGGTTAATTTGTGTCACCTGTGCTTGTTTATTTTTCAGTTATCCTAGTTTGGTTTACCCAGGTCACACTCGCTGGAACAGAGATCAGATAACAGAATAGAGGTGCTGGGAAAACCACCTGGAGCTTCAAGACAAAAACCCTGAGTTTGGATCTCTGTTATGATATTAACACTCATGACCTCAGGCACTCACTTAGCATGTGGAGACTCAATTGTGGACTATACCCTGCATGTGGCTCTGCTCTGGGTGGCACCACAGTGGTCAGGTAAAAGTCAGGGGCCTTGGTGAAAGATGCTCTGGTTCTAGTCCTGGGCTTGCAGTGATTTCAGGAGGAAAGCAGAGAGGAAGGACCCTGCCTCTGGGACAACCAAGGCCTAGGGGCTGGGATCCTGGAGGGCAGAGAATCTCACTCACCTTAACATGTGGCTCAGAGACTCAAACAGGCAGGTGAGAACAGACATGAGCATCAGCTGAGGGAAGGCAGATGTGGGAGGAGGAAAAGAAGACAGCTGAGCCCAGAGTCTCAAAGGACACCCCCGAGCCCACCATGTAGGCCGCAGTGGGCAACCCTCCCTTGTCTGCCAGTACTCGGCTAGAGGCTGACTGTAGTTTGACCTGAGAGGCAACTTCCCTGGGTCTGGACTGGGGGACACTGAATATCTGCTTCTCTAGTTAAGAAAGAATCAATGGATCCCTGCAGAGGGTTTGATGACTTCATTTCTGGTTCCTAAGGAACCCAAGGGGCATTATAGATACATATCATCTCAGAAAGAACCATTTTGGCTGCCCCTCCCTACCTCAAGACCTAGAGGAGGGATACCAATGGTGAGCCTCCAGAACCCACCTCCACCCAAGACTCCAAGCCAGACCTTGTCACCCCAAATTCCTGAACTCACCTCGTTCTCATGGGATGAGCCCACCACATACAGGAAGAGGTCAATGCTGCTCTTGTAGACGATGGTCATGCCCCCAAAAAATGCGATCTCACCTAGAGGTGGAAGGGCTTTTGGCTCTGGTCACCTTGGCCTGGTAACAACATGGCCCCTCCTCCCAGTTGCTTCCTCTGCATCTCTTCCTCTATTTTCCTCTTCCCCTCCCAAGGAGCCCATGAAAGACCAGAATCAGTGACACTGCCCCTAGGCTGCTCTGTGTCCTTGGTCCCACCAATGCTATATTTCTAGGGACATCCTCATGCTAAGGAGTCAGCAAACTCTGTTCAAAGTTGACTTCCCATCCACCCTCTACCATGTGCCATTCCCTGAGAACAGGTCCAGGCTCGGGGTGCCACAACACAGTTGGCCTCCTCAGTGGAGAGATCTGGCTGTGCTGGGAGGTGGGTGTGGAGAGTGAGGGTTCCTGGATGAAGGGAGTGAAGAACAGCGGACAAGGGGACGATGGACAGCTTTAGGAGAGAAGGTAATGGCCTGTGGGTACGGAAGGCTGACAGGGACAGATGTGTGTGGAGATGCAGAAGGCAATGAACAGCAGTGTTCTTGAGTTCTGGAGAAGGAAGAGGTGGACACTTACTCTCAGTCTTACTGGTCTTGTTGAAGACATTTTTCTCAAAAACCATCTGCTCCTTCATGGATGGGAATGTGTCATCATAATACTGTGAGAAAAAGAACAAGGGGCAAAAAAAAAAAAAAAAAAAAAAACCACACACATTCCACAAAGCCTCGTTCCTTCCTGGGTGGGGAGCAGGAGATGTGGACAGACCCTGTGGGACCCTGCTGCCATGCCATGTTTCCCTTTCATGATCCTCCATGCCTGAATGCACCCTAGTTCCCATAAGCAAATTCTAAATAAAGAAAGACAAAATAGCAGGGCACAGTGGTGCACGCCTGTCATCCCAGCAGCTTGGGAGGCTGAGGCAGGAGGATCATAAGTTCAAAGCCAGCCTCAGCAACGGCAAGGCGCTAAGCAACTCAGTGAGACCCTGTCTAAATAAAATACAAAATAGGGCTGGGGATGCAGCTCAGTGGTCGAGTGCCCCTGAATTCAATTCCTGGTAACCCCTCCCCCCCCAAAAAAAAAGAAAAAATAGAGACTATTGAGGGTTCTTTGGACTCCCCTTCCTGGTTTCTTTCTTTCTTTGCTGTGCTGGGGATTGAAGCCAGGGCTTTACACATGTTAGGCAGGTGCTTTACCTACTACATCCCCAGCCTAAATATTGTCACTAAGTCACACTGTTTTGACACTAACCTGAGCCTACAGAAGTAGGCAAAGTCAGGAGTCTTCCCTAAACAATAACCAGCATAGATACAGCTAAGTTATAGATAAGGAAACTGGGACATGAGAAAGTCAGAAACCAGGCGCAGTGGTGCAAGCCTGTCATCTCAGCTACTGGGGAGGCTGAGGCAGGAGAATTGCAAGTTTGAGGTCAGCCTGGGCAACTTAGGGAGATCCTGTCTCAAAATAAAAAAGTACTGGAGGGCTGTGGTTGTAGCTCAGTGGTAGAGCACTTGCCTGGCATAGGGAAGGCACTGGGTACAATTCTCAGTACCATATATAAATATAATATATATAAATAAATCATAAGGCCCATCAACAACTAAAATATATATATATATATATATATATATATATATATATATATATATATTTTTTTTTTTTTAAAACCTTTATTTATTTTTATAGTTTTCAGCAGACACAACATCTTTGTTTGTATGTGGTGCTGAGGATCGAACCCGGGCCACACACATGCCAGGCAAGAGCACTACTGCTTGAGCCAAATCCCCAGCCCCTAAAAAATATATTTTAAAAAAGTACTAAAATGTAGTTCAGTGGTAAAATCACCCCTGGGTTCAATCCCCAGTACCACCATAAAAAGGGGGGGGGGGGCTTTCCAATATCTCAAGGTGGTAAGGGTTATAGCTGATATTCAATACCAATGATCATCTGGCTTCAGACAAGGTTGTGTCAAAGATTCAATACCTAGTGAGAAGTTCCTAGCACATATTCCATAACTAAATCAATGTTTGTTTTTTTTTTATTTTGTTTTGTTTTGTTTTGTTTAAGTTTGGTAAGCCTCTCCCCCTGACTCAATTTCTTAGTCTGTAACACGGATGGGTCTACTGGGCAGGCAGCCCTGGAGGCTTTAGCATTGCTGATCCACCCTGGCCATCTGCCAGGGCAAGGTGTGGTTAGCTCAGCTTTCAATTTTCTGGATGTAAATTTTGCCACTTTGTACTCTGCAGGCAAGTTAGCAGTCTCCCTGCTGGCTCCTGCTGTCATGAACAAATTCATTTGAATGCTATGAAAACAAACAAAAAAAAAATCAGCCTCAAACAAATGAAAAATTTGTAATGCATTTCATAGCTAATTTAGATGCTATAGTTTTATTCCAGCTAATTGTGTCAATTGTAGAAATTTCTTTTTGGATTATCCTAGTTTGGTTTACCCAGGCCATGTTCAGGGATGAATACCAAATAACTGAATAGGTGTCCAGAGAAAAGCCACCCTGAGCTTTAAATCAACATTGAGTCTGAGGTGGGCACAGTGGTGAATGCCTATAATCCCAGTGCCTCAGGAGGCTAAGGCAGGAAGATCAAGAGTTCAAAGCCAGCCTCAGCAATGGCAAGGTGCTAAGCAACTCAGTGAGACCCTGTCTCTAAATAAAATACAGAATAAGACTACGGATGAGGCTCAATGGTCGAGTGCCCCTGTGTTCAATCCCTAGTAAAAAAAAAAAAAAAAAAAAAAATTAAAAATCAAGTTTGAACTTGGGAGGATGAGGAAGGAAGATCACAAGTTCAAAGCCACCCTCAACTCAGCAACTTGGCTAGGCTAGGACCTAGGCAACTTAGTGAGATCCTGTCTCAAAATAAAAAATAAAAAAGACTGGGAAAAAATAAAAACTCAGTGGTAAAGTGCTCTTAGGTAGGTTCAATTCCTAATACTGGGAAAAAAAAAACCTGAGTTTGGATCTCTGTTACAATATTAATAAGACCTTAGGCAACTCATTTAGTATCTGTGCATCTCATTTTCTGCATCTGTGAAATTAAAAGAATTGGATTATATGATCTCTAAAATCCCACCTGGTCCTAAATCTTTATACTAATTCCTTCATTCTTGCAGAACAAAAGTGGAAGTCCCTTATTTAGTTTAAGGACTAGGACTCCTTGGCCCCAGGCTGAATACTCCACTGACCTCTTGGGAGGAAACTTCCCATGCCCAGGGTCCAGCTGGTCAGTGGAAGGATGATAAGACAAGGCAGGCAGCATAAGTAGAAACAGAGGAGATGCCCCCTATAGTCAGGGCCAGCAGCTTGACAAGACAGGAAAGTGGACAGAATGACCTCTGGAAGGGTCTAAACGGAGCTGCTGTGCACCACAGAGACCACAGTAGAGTCTCTCCAGATATAGGGAGTCAGCTGGGTGTTGGGTGGAGACCTCTGTTCTTGGGGCTGTATTACTGTGTGTTCAGAGTCCCAAAGGGTGAGGGTTACCTTGGCCAGCAGCCGTCGCCCATCATTATCTAGGATGAAAACAGCCTTGATGGTGTAGAGGGAAGGTTCCTGTAACTGACACCGGGGAGGAAAGCTCCGTTTGTCCCCTGACTCAAGGTGGACACCCGGGTACGGGCTATAGGATTTGCGGGCCCTAGGAATACATCCTCAGGCTCCAGCGACCCCAGCCTCCAGTCCATAGCTGGTTCCAGCCCAACCCTGTGCCACATGGGCCCACTCCACTCCCAGACAGATGTTCCACTGCAGGCCCTGGGTGGGCGCTGTGCCTGCTGGGTGCAGAAAGTCCTACCTGGCCCAAGTTCTGTCATGCACTGACTGCTCCAGAGCCCGAGTCGGAGTGTATCACAGAACCTAGGCCAGGGGGACAGCGGCGCCGAGCCTCCTCCGTCCAGCTGGCCCCAAGCTCCAGAAGTACAGCCATCACCCACGGGCGACGGAAACTCAGTCCCGGCCCACTCGTCACCCACTCCTCACCCCTCCCAGCGGAATCCCTACACCGTCCCCGCCCCCAGTCAATCCCCATCACTGCTCCGAGTTCCCCTACAACTTCCATTCCGCACCGGCCGACTCGGGACAGGCCTCCGGGCCAGAACGAAAATTTCCTCCCCTCCCTGGGCCCGGGTCCCTTCCCCAGGGCTGGTCATTGGTGGCACAAAGTTCCCGCCGCCAGTCGTGAGTTGGCTGCCCCCTCCTCGCTCCCCCGCCGCCCGCGCCCCGCGCCCGCGCCCGCCTGCTCCGTACCCGCAGCCCCGAGGGCTCCCCGGCTCCGGCGGGCGGCGTCGGGCCCCCGGCCTGGGCAGCCGCGGCCCCCTCCCCCGGGTGCGGACGTGGCCAGGCCTCGGGCCGCTGCATTCCTCTAGCCGCCTCGCACTGACAGCGCCGCCCGCCGCCCCGCCCCGCGCCCGCCCGCGGGCCGCCCCCCGGGGCGCCGCCGGCGCCTCCCCTCCGCCAGCTCGGGTGCGTGGCGCTGCCTTCCTCGCTGCCCCTTCCTCCTCTTGCCCTCCCTGCTCTCCCTTCGAGCCCTCGCAGCCCTGCGCCCACAACCCAGTCTCTACTGAGCTGCGGTCCACCAACTTTTCTCTCTCCGGCTTTCCTGTTTTCTGCTCCTTGAAGCCCCCAGACAGAGCTCAGCGCCCTCAGGTGGGCCCGGGACCAGTCTCTCTTCCTGCTTCCTGCCTCCTGCACCGGTACCGAAGGCTGTCCTGGGGCCAGCAGTAAGCAGGTGGAACCCACTTTGGTCTCTAGACCCCTGGTTGGTATCATCGTGACAACGATGCTTTGGATCTCAGGACAGGTTCTAACAGTGAGAGCTGATGGCAACAGCTCAGTAGAGACTCATCTGCTGAAAAGAGGCTTTCCCTTTCTCCTCACACTATTTGGGGAGCCATGGTCCCAGGCACCTTCCCAGAAATCTCTCAAGACACAAATGAAGCACAGATGAGAGGCTAACAGGACAGATGCAGAAATGCTCCTTCTGCTGTGGCACCAGGCTTTGCAATATGTTTGGTTTTCTGGGGTCTAAGTCTACCAGAGGACAAATGCTTATTTCATGATACTCTGGCCAGTGGGCGGTTCACACCCAGTGAAGCAAAATGAATTGTACTTAGGCACTCACCTGGAGCAACACCAGGAGTGCCTTTTACACCAAACGCTTTCAAGTACTTATCTAACACAAGCAATGTTGAGGAAAGAGGGACCCAGGCTGTGTGACTTTTTCAAGACCAATAAGTAGTTGAGTGGGGAGGGAACCCACATTTTAGACTAAAAGTTTCTTCCTGTTCTTTCCTTCAAGGACTCTTATATTACGTATCATATTCACTCATCCCAAAGAGCTGCTCAATGGGGTTTTCCCTCCCCTGAATGCATGGAGCCTTCTCTTCTTTAAATTTGGGCTTAAATATCATGGTAGGATGAGGTGGCACATACTCCTAGCTACTGGGGTGGGGGGCTCTGAGGCAGGAGGATGACAAGATCCTGCCTTGAGACTCTGTCTCAAAATAAAAATAAATGAGGGCTGAGGATATAGATAAGTGGTAGAGTATCTGCCTAGCATGAGTGAGGCCCTGGGTTTAATTTCCAGTGCCACCAAAAAAAAAAAAAGTCACAAAAAGGACCCCTTTGACAGTGACTGTATCTAACTTGATAGTCCATCCTGTCTTGTTCTCTCAGTACCCTACATTTTTCATGTACTTCTCTCAATCTCAATATAATCTTTTTCTTTTTTTGGTACCAGGGGCATTCAACCACCGAGTCACATCCCCAGCCCTATTTTGTATTTTATATTTAGAGACAGGTCTCACTGAGTTGCTTAGTGCCTCACTAAATTGCTGAGGCTGGCTTTGAACTCGTGATCCTCCTGTCTCGGCCTCCCAATCCGCTGAGATTACAGGTGTGTGCCACTGTGCATGGTTCCATATAAGTTTTACTAATTTCTTTGTAAGTACATATGTCCTTCTCCCCTCCAGACTTTGAGGCCTGGGAGCACAAAGATAATGTGCCTGTCTTTTTCTCTATGGAATCCCTGGTGCCTCTCACAGGCTTGGCATTAACAGGTCCTTTTTTTTTTTTTTTTTTTTTTTTTTTGTACTGGGGATTGAATTTAGGATGTTCTACTACTGAGTTACATTCCCAACCCTTTTTATTTTTAAATTTGGAGACAGAGTCTTGCTAAGTTACCAAGGCTGACCTTGAATTTATGATCCTCCTGACTCAGCTTCCAGAGTTTCTGGGATTACCAGTGTGCAAGAACTGTGGATGTAGCTCAGTGGTACAATGCTTGTAGACTTAGACCCCAGAAAATCAAGGCTGTATAAGGCTGTAGGTTTGATTCCCCAGAATTGCAATCAATCAATAGATATTTTTTAAAAGGAAAATAGAGCAAGAATGGGAATCAGGAATGTGAGTGGATGAGAAGAGAGGCAGAATGCCATTTTTATTATGCATCTGAGAGAGCCTTCAAGAAAGATACTTGATACCACCAGGCATGGTGGCACACACCTGTATTCCCGGGGACTTGGGAGGCTGAGGCAGAAGGATTGTAAGTTTGAGGCCAGCCTCAGCAACTGTGATACCCTAAGCAACTTAGTGAGACCCTGATCCCTCACCCCTGCAAAAGAAAGAAAGATACTTGAATAAAGGATGGAAGCAGGCAAAGGAGTGAGCCATGCTGACATCTGAGGAGATCTGAGGAGACATCTACTGAACCTCTTTCTATGAGGATATAGAAGTTGCATCTGAGCCTTTCTTGCAGGCTATCAGAGTTGAGTTGTAATAGTGAAGACAGTCAACACTATTTGGAACAGTGGGTGGGGGCAGTATCTTTCTTTTCTCTGTCTCTCTTGTTTTTTTTTTGGGGGGGGCAGTACTGGAGATTGAACTCAGTGGCTCACACATGTTAGGCAAACACTCTACTAATCTATGTCCCCAGCATATCTGGGCATTTTGTTTGGCCTCTAGATCATCAAAGTATGTCAGTGGTCAAGCTGGCTGGGTATGTTATAGAAAATATTGATTTGATTATTTGGATGCTTTAATACCTCTGTGAGCTAGTCCTTATTTAGCTCATGTAGAAAGACAGCACCAAAAAGCCCCCTGGGGCATTTATCAGCCTCTGTTGGGCTCATGGTGCCCACCAGGGGAAAACGTCAGCCTCTGGAAGAAGGGAGAGGGGAAGACATGGAAAGATAGGGGCCTGAGGAGGGTGGGGGTAGAACCATGGGAATGGCAAGGGAGAAATTAATTGCAGGGATAGATGAAAAGGCACTGGAGGGGGCCTATGGCTTGGGCTAAGAGAAGTCTAGCTGGGAAGGAAGCTTAGGAACCGCGAAACCCTCATCACCTCGACCTGTTCCACCACTGTTGTTGCTATTCTTATAATCACCAAGATCTCTTTACATCTTAAGTACAGAGATGAATAAATAAATTCAGAGTCTTCACATTGAACCTTTCAAGGAGATGTTTCCCAATGATGGCCCTTCCCAGACTCCCTCAGTGGAGTCCTAGGGAACTCCCCAGTTACTTCCCCAGCCTAAGCTACACCTCTGATGGGGTTCTATGTACAGAGGCAGACAAAGAGTGTACTTAAGACAGTGTCATCCTCAGTGTTGCCCCACGAGGACTCCAGTTCATGGCCTGCAGCACTGAAAAGGTGTGCAGATTCAACAAGAAAGAGTCAACTCAACAGTCTGCCTGGGGCGGGGAAGCCATGGCTGTGGAAGCATGCAGCCTTCATGTTTCTTTGCTTTCTGATCCCCGGTGGTGTGGTTGCCTGGGAATGAGGGCAGGGGCAGTGCATATTTCTAACTGCTAGAGATTCTACAGTCACTGCACTCAGGATTGGAGTCCTAGAGTCCTTTGGAGTCCTAGAAAACAGGTGATTCAAATGGGGTTCTCCTGTGGATCATGGTATATTTTGGAGGGGAGACCATTCCATTTCCTCTGATTCATTCTTCTACTGCTGCATGTCTGTGCTGTATGCCCTGGGATTTTAGCATCTATTTCTGTGTGACAAGAAGAAACAGCTCCCTTGGGTACTAGCCCCTAGATCCTTCCTGCTATAATGTCAAGTGGGAGAGGTGTGTGGAATAAGAGGTACGGATGTATGTTGTGCTTGAAAGAAAACTAAAGCTTCAATGCTCCATCTGCAGAATGGGCTTTCAGTAGACCATTCTAAAGACAGCTCTCATTTCTTCAACATCTTTGGCTTTCTCTGGCACAAAGTTTCAGGGTGGTAGAGAGATAATTGACCAACAAAGGGCCTCACACTCAACTCTACCCCCATGTGCAAGTGTCTTTACACACATGATCTGATTTTTCTTTTTCTTTCTTTCTTTTCTTTTCCTTCCTTCCTTCCTTCCTTCCTCCGTGTCTCTCTCTCTCTCTCTCTCTCTCTCTCTCTCTCTTTCTTTCTTGGGATTGAACCCAAGGGTGCTTAACCACTGAGCCATATCCCCAAATCTTTTTTTTAAAATATTTTTATATTGTTGATGGACTTTCATTTTCACTTATTTGTATGTGGTGCTGAGAATTGAACCCAGTGCCTCAGGCATGCTAGGCAAGCACGCTACCACTGAGCCACAACCCCAGCCCCCCAAATCTTTTTATTTTTTATTTTGAGACAAGATCTAACTAAGTTGCTTAGGGCCTGGCTAAGTTGCTGAGGCTGGCTTTGAACTTGTGATCCTCCTGCCTTAGCCTCCCGAGCTGCTGGGATAACAGGTGTTTGCTACCGAGCCTGGCACATGATCTGATTTTTAAGACTTGTGAATATCTATATTGTCTTCATTTAGCTTAGGCTAGTCTAGCTAGTAACAGCCAGATATGTGAAGCCATCTATGAGTACAATCACCCACCTTTCCACTTCACAAGGGCACCTGCCTAATCATAACATATTGCACTGAGAGCTATGCAAAGAAAATTTGTTTGGGGCAACTCAGACATATTAGGAGAGTTGAACTAAGTTTCAAAAATTTACACCAAGATATAAATGAACAATAAGGCATTTTCATTGTATTGGTCAAGGAAGAGAATGTTTTAGGACTAAGAAAGAGAACATCCTAAAACCAGATGATGATTCTAGTCTGCATTAGCCCTGCAGTTCTTTTTTCACCCAATTTGGATTATTGCTCCAAGCTAGTGATTCTCTGCTCCAACTGCACATAAGAATCACCTAAGGAACTTCTGCAAAATATTGATGCCCAATTCTGCTCTGAGAGGCTCTGATTTAATTAGTTTAGGATGGGACCTAAGTGTTGATATTTTTTGCAATTTCCCCAGGTTATTCTCACATGCAGCCAGGCTTGAGAAGCAATCTTCTAAGATAGTGTGGTGGTATGTATAGGGAAGAGGTGGGCTGGAAAAAGAGCTTTACCTCTGTTGA